AACCGCAACAGGTACTTTGCTTTTTTTCCAAGCGTGTCCGGCCTTCGAAGTCTTGCTGCGCTCCTGCTTCTCTTATAGTATATGCGTAATGTGGTTCATCTGCTGTAAGGAGCAGGGCACTGTGGTGACAGTAGTCCTAGGTAGCTAGACGAAGCACCAACAAACATAGCGTGACTGATCTATTTTGCAAATGCAATGCCGCTACAAAACAAGATCTTTCGGATGACTGCTTAAGCTGTGCTGTATTCGGTAACTGGATGCAGTTATGAGCTTCTGTTCGGATATAGGATCTGGTTCTCGCATGCAGGGCACACGGTGCAAGGCTGTGTGAAGGCAGGCGACGATTGTCTACCCTGATTCACCTGATGCTAAATGCCAGGACGAAGGCACCATAGAAGACACGTCCATAGTGCACAACATTTGGAAACCATGTAAACCATGCGCCCCTAAACCTTGGGTTAAAACCAACAAAACTTCATAACTTATAGACTTATAACAGCCTGTGAAGTCGGTTCCATGACAGCCTCCCAATGGCGAAGGCCAGGCAGGCATAATGTAGAATATCACTCAACACTGAACCCTAAACCCCAAACCTTAAATAAACCCTCATCAGAAAAACCTAAACCCCAAACCCTAGACCCTAAACAGAAGGACCTAACCCCAAACCCTAAACAGAAAAAACCCTACCCTCAGGGTAGCCTCACGGATAGTCTACTCATACGAAGCCCCTCGAACCCCTAGTCTGTCCGAATCGTGAATCTCAAACCACCCCTCCCAGTATCCCGTAAATTAAGGAATGTACCTTAAAGGGTTCCTTACTGAGATCTATAAGGGTAGTATAAGAATCAAGGAATATACTTCAAACTATAGTAGGATCTCTGATACTATGATTTACGGCATTTCCCTCAAGTGAGGGATATTGGAAGGTCTGGGCATACCCAACCCTTGTCCCTCAACATCTGCACCACTACACTGCTAAGCCTGGCCTCTACTTGCGCCGGAAGTCACGGGCGCAGCCAAGCAACATGCCCGAATCCAGGGAGGCATCCAACCACAGCGCCAGACATAAACCCTAAACCCTGAACCCTAAACCCTAAACCCTGAACCCTAAACACTAATCCTTGTTGCAGAAACATCTCTTCGCCGATATCTTTGCGACGTTCCATCCAAAGGCAAAGAGCCGAGAGAGCT